TTTAAAGAATTTTGATCCATATTACTGTCTTGTGTAATTAGAGGTTCAACATTTTCTCTATTCGATTGTTGATTGACATTTGAATTTCCAAGAAAACTTGTTTCTACAAATTCAACGTCTCTAGACTCTATGATAGCATTCGAGTCTATGTCCAACAATCTATATGCTTTTGAATTTTCAGCATAACCCACAAAAACACTCTTAAGAGCTCTAGGTCCTAATTTGGTTCTTTTAGGATCTGGAACTCTATAATAGGCTATACAACCCCATACTCTCAAATAGCTTAAGTTTGGCCTTTTTTCTTTCCATATTTTATATGGAGAAGTTTTTGTTTTCTTTGAGGATATTCTATTGTGCACATGGCAAGTTGTTAATAGAGCTTCTCCCCATAGATTTGTTGGTAGTTTAGCATGCATAAGCATAGCATTATTCATATCTACCAATGTTCTATTCTTTCTTTCAGCCAAACCATTTTGTTGTGGAGTATAAGGTGCACTCGTTTGATGAATCAAACCATTTTCTTCACAAAAAACAGTAAATTCAATTGGAAAATATTCACCACCTCGATCACTTCATAGGATTTTAATTTTCTTTTCCAATTGATTTTTAACCAAGGTTTTATAACATTTAAACATATCAAATGCTTGATCTTTAGTTCTCATTAAATAAACATGAGTGAACCTAGAATGATCATCAATGAAAGTAATAAAATATCTTTTTTCTCCTCTAGTTAAATGACCATTTAATTCACATATATCATAATGCACAAGTTCAAGTGTTTCAGTTGTTCTTTCATTCTTTGGAAAGGGTTTCTTAGTCATTTTTGCTTGTATGCATATTTCATATTTTCCAAAATTTTCATTTGTACATGGAATTAAACCATGCCTAGACATATACCTAATTGATCTATAATTAACATGTGATAAATGAGCATGCCATAAATTAAAAGGAGATTCAAGAATATAAACAGAAACATCAACTTTATTAATACTCAACTTAAACATGTCATCACATGAATACCCTTGTCCAACAAAGACACCATTCTTAGAAAATATAATTTTTTCTGCCTCTAAGATAGCCTTCAAGCCCTTCTTGCACAACAAACTTGCAGATATCAGATTTTTTCTCACATCAGGAACATAAAATACATTCATTAAGATCAGTTTCTTTTCAGAGGTAAACTGCAGTTCAACAGTCCCTTTTCCATGCACCTTGGTAGTATCATGATTCTCCATCAGAACACTTTCATCCTTTGATGCAACTTCATAGTTCTTGAACAAATTTTTGTCATTACAAACATGCACTGTCACACCAGAATCATACCACCAATCTGCAGTCTTGTCAGTTGTTATCATGTTGCATTCTGTAATAATGCTGATTTTTAGTTCAACAATCATGGCTATAATTTCAGAAGGACTTGGAGGACGTTCAACAATATTTGTCTTTTTTTGTCCAGTGTTTGCCTCTGTCTTCAATTTCTTATAGAACTTGCACTCATTCTTGAAATGGTCATTCTTGCCACAGAAAAAATATGTCTTGTTCTTCTTAAAGTTAGCAGAATTATTACTTGAAGATTCAATATACTTCTTTTTATTTTCAGAAGTATTACCAGTCCTTGTTGATTTCTTCATATTAGACTCAATATTGTTTACTTTAGAACCAAACTCTGAAGCATTTTTATTCTCACGACTGTGAGTTTCTTCTTCTATTCGGATATGCTTCATGAATTGGTCTATGGTAAAATCTTCAGAAGTGTGCAACAATTTCTTTTGATAATCATTCCAAGTAGTAGGCAATTTTGCAATTACCACAGCCACTTGAAGTTGTTCAGACACTTCTATTTTAAATCCTTGAGTCTAGATACTAGGACAAACAATTCATCTACTTGTTCTATGACAAATTTATTATCAAACATTTTAAATTCAAAAAATTTCATACTGAGAAATCTGTCTGTACCTTGCTTGACAGATGTATATTTCTTCTCTAGGGCACTCCAGATTTCTTGTGGAGATTTGATTGAACGAAACAGATCGTATAATCGATCAGACAGTGAATTCAAATCCCCACGAGAAATATGTTCGTACCTTGCTTGACAGATGTATATTTCTTCTCTAGGGCACTCCAAATTTCTTGTGGGGATTTGATTGAACGAAACAGATCGTACAATCGATCAGACAGTAAATTCAGAATATAGCCTCTGCAACGAATTTCATCCTCCATGCGTTTCTTGCGGGTTGCTATAATTTCTTCATCTTCTTTGTCAGATGGTTCAAGAATAGTTGGCAGATTTCCACTTAGCAGATACACAACACCCAATTCAGTAAGCAAGAAAAATAATTTATCCTTCCAGCGTGTGAAGTTCGTTCCATCAAAACGATCCAACTTGAACACTTCAGGATTGAACTTGAAAACATAATTTGAACCAGTAACCGAGCCAATAGCCTCCATTGTTGTTTAATTTTCTTACGATTGTTAGCAAAATAAGATTTCACCAAATTAGAAGGCTTTGATCGTGTATTCACTACCCTTAAGGAAATTATGCCCCACTATGTTGCTATTGGATTTATGGCAAATTCCTCTAGAATTAACAAAGTCAAACAGAATTTCAGATAGCAAACTCTAAAATTCTCTCAAGAACAGAATAGATAAACATTTTTTTTTGTATATACTTCAATTAAAAGATCTGTACAGATATTTATAATACCTTAGTGAGGAGACATAACTCTTGGGCCAAAGAGATGTAAAGAGGAGACACAACTCTCGGGCTAAAAGACATTTAGTAATTAATTAATACAAAAATAATTAATTATTTAGAGGTTTCAAGCCCAAGATGTCCCAAGTGTCCAAGTGCCCATATTTTGACTTTAAAGATTATTTTATTTAAAATTTAATTAAAGTCTATTGATTTGAAATATTTAGAGCTTCCTTCCAAATCTTCCCACCATCTAAATTTATAAAATTTGGTGTTTCTCCTTTTAAACCCTTACTATCTCAAACAAAATGTGCCGAAATTCAAGTGGCATTATGACGGACGTGAACACAATTGGAAACTTGAATATGGGGTTATAATAACTGATTGTAAAATCAACTTTTGGTCAATCTATGCAACAGGATTAACTATCCATTATGAGATGAGCATGTTGAAGTCTTGGGGGCGTATATGGAATTATGTTTGATTTGGAGTTAGAATATGAGAGAGTTGTAAAGGAAGGAGCCTTGATTTTAACAAGACAAATTTAAAATAATCAAAGGATTTAGTGATAAATTTTCAGATTGGATTTGAATTAGCGCTAAAAGTGGGTTAATTAACGTACTTAATTAATTGATTTCAATTCGAGATAAATTTAGCTTAATTGATGAATCGATTAGATTTAGATGACTAATTAGTTTTTTAAATGTTAATTTTTGTGAGATTAAATGTTGTATTTTAGCTGTGGTAGTGATAGAATTGTCTCTTTATATTTTAAGGGTAAATTTGTCTCAAAATTTTGGGTTTATTACTTCTCCAACAGAAAAAAGAATAATAGTTAATCATTATTATTATTATTATTATTTGTATTTTAAAATGGACTTTTATCAATATTATATCAGATAAATTGACCAATTTTGTTGAATTAATTCAATATCGTTGTCGCATTTGTAGAAATATATTACCACCAGATAGATACTAAATTTCTTATAATGTTAAAGTATAATATAAATTAAATCACATTACTCAATTTCGTTAATAAATTTTAACAAAAGAGACATTAGTCTTTTATGAATCCTAACAAGGGTGCTAAGGCGCAAAATCAGAAAAATACTTTAGGTTGAGCATATTAATAAGTTTTAAAATTTTTTGAGCAATGGTATAGGGACTTAATCAGAGACCTAATTAAATACAATCATTAGATTAGTTATTCCAATATCAGATGAAACTCACTTTCAATTTAAAGTTTGCACTGAATTAGTTCCCAAAATTAGGTTTAAGTAATATTTTTCATTTTTTTTTCAATTGACCACCGAAATTCATAAATTCATATTTACTATAATTATACATAAAAGTTCATTAAATATAAAAGTTTGAAATGGATTTACATTGCATGAAGAAACAAAAAATAAAAATAAATTAATTAGAACTTTGTATGAGACTAATTATTGTTATTTACAATTGAATCTAATTAGTGTTTAATATTTAAAAACATTACAAATCAATGATATAGATAAATAATTTTTTTATATATTTTATATACAAAATGGTGATAATAATGATCTTTTCTTTATTATCTTGTAATTTATTACGTAATGACATTTATTTTTATATAATTACAAAATAATTCTATAATTTAAAAAAATTACTTCAATATGTCTAAAACTAATTTGGACATCTCTAAAATGTGTCCAAAATTTAAGAATAATAGTAGTTACAACAAATTCGGGATTTAATTAATAGTGACCCAATAAATTGTGGTCATTTGATGGATAATGAATGTTATTAAATATCTGGACTCACTATTGGGGTTAATATCACAATACAGTACGCCAGAATAACATTACTCAAAAATTAATAATTATTTAGATAGGATCTATCATAGTCGATATCTTAATAATGCAATAATAAGGTGTATATAATTAAATATGTTTAAAATTTATTTAAAAAAATATATATCTAATGTCAAAAAAAAAAGTCTAAGGGTATAATATTTTATAAATCAAGGGTTTGTGTATAATATTTTAATAAATATGTAAGTTTGTGAGTGATATTTTAAATGTTAGGTGGTTTTTGTAGCGAAGTTTAGGTGCGATTCACTCGTCTCGAATCACAACGGATACTTATATAACGGCTATTTCTCCCTTTCCTTCTTGCTTTCTCTCTCTCACTCTCTTTTTCATTGCACTACTGATCATCGTCTCTCTCTCTCTCTCTGAAGAATTTTGAGGCAAGAAAAGTGGTTTTCCAACCATAGAAGCATATTTTCTTGGGCAATAAAGACACGGATCGAATTCTTTCATAAAGGCTAATGGCCACTAGTGACAAGAATTACATGGCAAGGGGCTTCTCGACGCCGCCGCCGACATGGAAGTCAAGACGATCGTCGCCATGGATTCCTTCGTCTGAAAAGAAGAGAATTTCGCCTCAGGCCAAAGCTGATAGTTTCCATGTGATTCATAAAGTCCCCGCCGGTGACTCTCCATACGTCAAAGCCAAACATGTTCAGGTAAATTATTTTAAATGACTATAAGTAGAGTGAACTGTTGGGTCCTCGTCTTCTTTTCATGGGCTTGAATTGAATTTTTTTATCTTGCGAAATTGGTGTTTGCTTTTGCAGGAATTTCTGCTTTCTTTGGTTTTCTGTTTTCAGATTTTTCAATTTTCATATTGCTTTATATCATCGGATACTTGTTGGGTTTAGGCGAGTATTAATTATATTCATTTTCATGTCGATATCGTGTTTCTTTGTTTCCAAGAATCATCACTCTCTCTGTATCTCTGTGTTGATGTTCTTTATATATTTGGGATCAAATGCTTGATTGTCTTCGTGTCTTATTGTTACTGACCCACATGGTCTTACTCCGTTGGCTTTGAATTTAACTATTTTCCTTTGAAATTTTGACTGATTTGGCTTACAAATGTTGGCAAGAAGAGTCGAAAATTTCTAGACGGCACTGATTCACCGTTTAAACTTTTTAAAAAGCAAGATTTATCGTTAAGTAATTGCATAATTGTAGTGCGGGAAAATTTCTATATAACATCTTGATGGCTTTGGTGAAATTGATTGATTAAATCATTATCCAGTTCTGTTTGTTTTTTTTTTTTTTGGGCATTGAACGTACTGTGTGTCATATCTGTTGTGCTGGTTTTGATTGTATTTTAGTGTCCAATAACAGTTGATAGATAAGGATCCAAACAGGGCCATTTACCTGTTCTGGAAGGCAATAAACTCTGGTGATCGAGTTGATAGTGCGTTGAAAGACATGGCAGTAGTAATGAAGCAATTGAATCGACCAGATGAGGCAATTGAGGCGATTAGGTCTTTTCGTCATCTATGCCTTCCTGAATCACAAGAATCTATTGACAATTTGTTAGTGGAGCTCTACAAGGTAATGCACATTTCAATTATAAACAAGCACAGTTCATTTTGTTCTTTTTGCAGCGTTGATTTCCCTTAGCATTATGCATTTGTAAAGGCCACTCTGATTCCTATCTAAAAAGATGCAATCAAGTTGTATTGTTTTGAGTATGGCTGGTTTTCTTCTAGAAGATCACTACACCTTTTAGAAATTTAGTCCCTTTTCTCCTTACCAAACCTTAGTTGCTCATATATATTGAATTGGAGATTTAACGGGTTAAATGTGAGTTCTCATCGCTTTATGTTTTATTTCATCCTTAGTTATTCTAACAAAGACTGCTAAGCATATATATTATTTTCATTTCTCATGTAAAATTAGCCAACAACAAAGGATTAAGTTGGATGAAAGGTCAAGGTGTTGTTTTGAGACCTCAACAAACCTTGGAGTAATGCAATGCATAACAAGAAATATGGATGACATCATTGCTTTCTAGCAAATACCTCATGGTGAAGGATTGAATTCTGTGAAACATTCATTCAGGAAAAAAACTTATGTGCGGAGCAATTCAAAAAATTTAAAAACTTTGTTGAATTTACTGAAACTTATGCTCTACAATGATTGAAGCAATTTAAGCTAAAACTTGAGTTTTTTCTAGAGTTAATTTCTGGCCAGATATGTGAATAGGTATGGTAATCTTTTAGGGGAGAACCGTAGAAAGTTCTAATTACGTTTGCATTATTGAACTGTTCAGTTGAATGGAAGTTTATTGGTCATTGCAGAGATCCGGGAGAATTGACGAACAGATTGAAATGCTTCAAGTCAAACTGAAGGACATTGAAGAAGGTTTAGCCTTTGGTGGAAAAAGGACAAAGATAGCTAGATCTCAGGGGAAGAAGATTCAAATCACAATTGAAAAAGAGTATTCAAGGTGGATACTGGAGATAATTGTTATATTGATTTACTGGTTTTTTGATTGTTTGCACTTGTTTTACTTTGGCCTTGTTTACTGTAGGTTATTGGGAAATTTGGCGTGGGCCTACATGCAGCAAAATAACTACAAGTTGGCCGAGGAGCATTATAGGTATGTTTATCATCATGCACTGATATACAATTATACACAGTATGTGCCATTGCGGTGTTTACTCTTTAGTAGGAGGTCATTTTTCTCAAAAAAAAAAAAAAAAAAAAATGTTTTTTTGATGCAGAAAAGCGTTATCGTTTGAGCTAGATAAGAACAAGCAGTGCAACCTTGCAATCTGCTTGATGCACATGAAGAGAACATCAGAAGCTAAGTTTCTGCTTCAAACCATAAAAGCTTCATCTGAATGTGAGCAGATGGACGAAACATATGCTAAATCATTTGAGCGTGCTGTTCAGATGCTGAACGGATTAGAATCGCCGTCAGATGTAAAGCCCATTTCACATGAAGAAAAAAACTGTCATGAAATCCCAATACCTTCCTCATCCTCTGATTATAGAAACCAGAAAGAATTTTCTACTCCCACTGATCGAGGTCATAATCAGGTTTTTGGCTTTGGCTCCAGAAGTTTAGCAGATGAACACAATGAAGCAACAGTGCTGTCAGATGAACAGAACAGAGGAGTTTTGTTTGGACCTCATCATGAGAATAAGGCTAAATTAGGTGGTTATGACAAGAGAAACGCAAACTGCACATCAATGGGACTAAGAAATTTTTCACACTCTTCCGATCAGTATTTGTTCATGGATACAGTTAAGAAAGGACCTTACATGGAAATACCATGTGAAAGAAGGTACGATTATGGCAGCAAAAGACACGGCAAATGTGTTAGTTTTACCGGAACAGAAGTGGGTTCTGTTTGCAAGAAGACTTATTGTACTCCAATTCATAGAGCAGAAACTCCAAAGTTTCCATTTACGCAANGGTTAGTTTTACCGGAACAGATGTGGGTTCTGTTTGCAAGAAGACTTATTGTACTCCAATTCATAGAACAGAAACTCCAAAGTTTCCATTTACGCAACCGAGAAGTGGTTCATGGTCATTCTCAAACGAGGATCAGGGAAGGGCATTTGGGAGACAGGATACAGCAGCTGGCTGCAATCGCAAATTATCATTTGAACAACCTATGATTAACAAAAATGTGCAGGGAACACTTGGAAAATCAGAAAGTCATTTACCATTTATAGGTGGAGACTGGAGAAATACGTTGTGCGGAAATCACACTGAAGTGGAAAGCAGTGGGGACTGGAGACAGAGGTCAAGTGGAGATCACGCTGAAATGAGCAATAGATCGATTTTACAGCCTTTTGGGAATGGAGTGTGGAAAAGGAATTTCCAGGATGATGGTGGGCAGACAAATAAGGACACCAAAGAAAATAATTTGCCTATGGGATTTTCTTCTGAGAGAGGTGATCATAGTTCTGTAGACAGAAAGAGATTGTCAGAAATGGTTGAACCCTTAGCAGAAAGTCTGAAGTCGACTCATGAACTACAAAGCCAAAGCCATCCTATTTTTGGAGATCTGAACCTGGTTCAAGACTGCTCAATGTGCCAAAGTAAGAAGAGTTGGGCAGATATGGTTGAAGAAGATGAACAGGAGTTGTTCGATGGCAGAACTCCAAGAAACTGGTCTGAAGGCTTGAACAAGGGGGAAGAGTTTAATGACGAGAACATAAATACAAATATAATTCATGAAAGTCCTACTCTGCTGAATCAGGTCGACAATTTCAGCCAAAAGATTGAATCACTTGATTTGGTGGACGGATATTACACTCAACCTCAGAAGGCTGATTCATCAATGAATCGAACAGTTCAGCGTTCATTAAGTTTTGATCACCATCAGAAGCCTGAAACAGCAGAAAATTACCATTTGTCACCATTGCCGAAGAAGGCCCTGAGCTTTGAAGGTTATAATTCTGGGAATGATACAAAATTAAACAGAAGAAGCAGGCTACCTGTTTTCCAGGACATTACTCTTCTTTCAGAAAGTCCACGACCTTGAAATGAATTCTGCGTCATACTGACAAGCATTAGCATGAATTGAAACTGCAGAGTGTGCTCATTTTTGTTTGTCTGGGGTCTTTCAGTGCGTCTTTACTTGTTCGTTCCTTCTGTGTATAGCCTTGTACAGTCGTAATAAATATACTTTCATACTGTTATGAAATTGATGTTGAGTTTCTTGTAGGTATGCGTCACTACAATGGAGGCTTGTTTAAAGGCTAGAAGCTTGCATCAGTGGCTATAGTGCTTCATCGACTACTTCTTGTAGCGCTCTTCGTACTTGTTGTCAGTCATGTATCTTGATGACAGTTCTGGCAACAATATGTGCATAAATTTTACAAAGTCTATATAGACTTTGTGTTTGTGTTGCAAAATTTCATAAGCTCAATAGTGAGAGTCTATGCCAGTTTATCAGTTAAACGTAGGCTCGGGTCTGGTGTAGTGAGAATTATTAGTAAGCCTAAAAGGTGGCCTTTGCTGATTCACACGAGATTCTACGTGCTACTTGAAGCAGCGCATAGGGTGTAAGTTAGTGTTACTTTCAACTACTGGACTTTCACCATTTACAGTGAAACACTTGATCTTAGCAAAAAGACCGAAAAAGGTATAATGTATCTAATACATCCATGGGAAAATTAGTGACAATTTTGGAAGTACACATAATAATGGTTTAAGTATATTTTGTTGGGGCATGGGCTAGCTTTAAACTTGATATTTGTAGGTTGCATACAAGTTTTGTAGGATGAATGTCACTTTGTACCTTAAATGATCTTTAAATTCTAACTTTACATATTAAAAGATTAAAAACAATTTATATTGTAACCTTAATTAGATTAAAAAATAGAATTATGGTCCAAAACCAAAGGTACGTTGCTTTGTCCGATAATTATTTTTGTTGTTTTCTTTATATTTTCTTATTTTTGTACACATTTATTTGTATATTATATAATTTTAAATACATTGCATAAAAATTTGTATGAGATTTTATTTAAAAGGGACTACATTATTGCTTATTTATTTAATTAAATTTAAAGATTTATTTGAGTACAAAATATCATTTGATCGGTTGCATATTAGGTAGGACTTGCGTAAGATTAATACTACATGAACTTAAAAATTAAACTTAATAATTACAATTATTAAATAAGTAGTGAGTCTCAATAAATGTTAGGATTCACAGTGAAATCAATAGTTAAATCACAACTATTGAATAAGTAGTAGGTCCCAATAAATGTTGAGATCCACATTAAAATCAATGGTTAAATTACAACTATTAAATAGATAGTGAGTCCGAATAAATGTTAGAACCCATATAAAATCAATGATTATAATTATTAACTCTATTTTTTAAATTTAATTTTTAAGTTGATGTAGCATTACGTTGTAAGAAAACTTGGTGCCGATTAGTTGAAAGATAACCTTAGCATCCTTGGAACCAAATTGGGAGGTGACGCAAAAAGCAGAAGATGCGATAAGATATTCGAGATGTACAGACTCCCGAGGATTGGCTCGTCTGCGATTGGAGAGTTACCGCATAACATGCAGTTTAATGAAACGGCTGCGTTTTCACTGTAGTTTTTGATTTTTTTTTGTACTGACCCTTACCAAAAACGACGTCGTTTTGGTCCTTTAAATCAAACTCCTCCCTTTTCTTTCTCCCGCTTCTTCTTCATCGGGTCTATTCTCTCGCCTTCTTCACGGCTCAAACTTCTCTATCTTCTTCTTCGTCGGGTCTGGTTCTCCCACCTTCTTCGTTGGGTCTGGCTACATTCAAGCTTGAATAGGTTCTTCTAACTGTTTTTCCCTTTACTGAGACACAAAGCTTTAGTGGGTATGTTGTTTGAATGTTGCTCTTTCTCAGTCAGTTTTGCTATATAATCATTTTCATTTTATAAGTGTAACTTCAAATAGTTGTAGTCTTTCTTTCTGGATTTACATGTAAAGATGTGATTTTTAATGTGTGTAACTACTCAAATGATTGCAAGTTTGTTTTGATTAAACTTGTTTGAAGTTTATAAGTAAGAACTAAAACTTTAGAGTTTCTTTTTGGGTGTTTAATTTGGAAGGAGTAAATGATTGTTTTGGGTTTGAGTTATAGGGTTTTCCAAGTTGGGATTTCTTCATTATTGTTCTGGTAAAAAACAATAGGTTTTCTGGGTTCTGTGTGATTGTAAGGGATTCCTCCTTTGTAAATATCTTTTGTGCTATTGCAATGAATAATGGAGAAATATGCAGTCTTTAGAATTTCTGGTACAAAAGTGAAAAGAAAAAAGAGTTCCTGCTACTACTTATTCTATTTGGAAAGAACTGTTCTCTTGGGCATGGTTTTTTTTACAAAAATTATGTGTATTAATCTTTTGCCAATGAGCATATATCATGACTGAAGTGAATGGCGAAGGTGGACTCTAGTAGTTGACCCAAATGATTGAGACATGAGACTTGGTTTGGTTTAATTTGGTTGTGTTATCAATCTTTTGCCAAATTTAGAAAAAAAGTACCAATGTTAGCTCTGCCCATAGAGTTCTGGCACCACCTTAGCCTTTCTACAGTTTTATAATGCCTCATTTTGTTGCCATGGTTTCTCTATTTGACTTGGTTTTGCAAAAAGATGACAGTTGTTGTATGCTATGAAGAGATCTTTTTCCCTCTTATAGGTGTTCCATAGCCATATAACTTCATGTCAATTTCTTTGTACATGTTTTTTTTTTGTTCTTGTTAGCTTGTTATTGGAATAATGATTAATTTTCTTAAGAATTATGTAACCTTATGTACATGACATCTAGTTTTATCTATGACTGCAAGTTCCATCTAATGTCATTTCAATTAAATTTCTTATTGCAGGATACTATGATGGATGATTTGGGAGTTAATGCGATTGATAATATACCTCATATTAGTATACAATTTGATGCGGAGGAAGATGCTTATGTTTTTTACAATAGTTATGGAGGGTCTGTGGGATTTAGCGTGAAGAAAAATTTTCAGAATAAAATTTTGAAAGATAGTGTTGTCATTTACAAAAAATATGTTTGTTGTAAACAAGGTCAAAGGGGTCGTGATAAAAGAGAGTGTCAAATAAGGAAGCCTCGAGCAGAGACAAGAACAAATTGTCAAGCTCATATGTGCATATCTCTTAATAGAGAAATTGGTAAATTTCTTGTGGTAAAGTGGGACGACAACCACAACCATCATTTGCATCTTGCTGAATGTATGCATATGACGTCATCCCAACAGAAGATTACCACAGCACAAAGTATTAATATTGATATGACAGTAGATTGTGGATTGTCACTTAAGACTTCCTATGATCTTTTAAGTACTCAGTCTGGAGGAAAGGAAAGTCTTGGTTTTATTCATCAAGACCAAAAGAATTACCTTCGTGAAAGGAGGCAACGAGACTTGAGGTATCGTGAGACGTGTAGTTTGTTGAAGTATTTTCGAACGGAAGCAGTGAAAAATTCATCATTATATTATGGAGTGCAATTGGATGCGGAGGAGCATATTACTAATATTTTTTGGGCCAACCTAGTGATGATTATTGACTATGACAACTTTGGAGATGTTATCTCATTTGACACTACTTTCAGAACAACACAAGGAGTATCGACCCTTTGCTTGTTTTACTGGCTTCAATCATTTCGGGGAGATAGTCTTATTTGGGGCTGCATTATTATATGATGAAACGACAACATCATTTCAGTGGTTATTTGAGACATTCCTACAAGCTATGTCTGGAAAATATCCTATTACCATATTCACCGACCAAGATCAAGCGATGGCTAAGGCTATTTTTATAGTCATGCCAAAGATATATCATGGGTTATGTACTTGACACCTTTGCCAAAATATTTTGAAACATTTGGAAAACATATATAAGGATGGTTCACAATTTTTGGCTCAATTTAAAGAGTGTGTGTATGGATATGTGGAAGAGCATGGATTATTTGAGGCTTGAGAATCGTTGCTTGCGGAGTATAATTTGCATGATAATATGTGGATAAAAACCACTTGGGCATTGCGAGAGAAAATGGGGCATGTGTATATGAAGAGAACTTTCACTGCAGGAATGAAAATCACTCAATGAGTGAAAGCTTGAATGCAGTCTTACAGAAGTACTTAAAGTCAGACCATGACATTGTTCAGTTCTTTGTACATTTGGAAAGAGTTGTGAATGATAAGTGGTATAAGGAGTCAGACTCAGAATATTAAGCTAGATAAAAATTACCAAGATTGAAGTTAAAAAGAGCTTCAATGTTAGTGCAAGCAGGGCAAATGTGCAAGCTCAACTATACACAAGAACAAAATACATACAATCAATTGCAGGATGCCAACTTGACCCCAAGTTTATTTACACTAGGCTCAAAGCCAATGTTATGCTTAACTGAGCAAGCATAAGTTGATTAAGATGTTGTATAAAAAGGATTTTGAATATCTTGGAAGTTCTGTTTCTCATCCACATTCCACAAATCACAATAGAAAAAATCTAGAATGATAAATAATAGGATACAATTGTTGTTTGTCAATTTCTTTGAGTATCACTAGGATGAAAATTATAAATGTAAAAATTCAACTGGTAATTTTAATCCTTTATGGTATTTAAATTGAATTTACTATCATAAAAGGCGCATTACTGGGTGCTTTGATAAAAAAGTTGCCTTAACAACCGTGGGATTCTTCATCAACGGGCAATCTTGTGCAAATAAACCAAGGTTAAAAGTACCCAATCTACCCATTTTTTTCATGCTCAACAATGGCGCAATTTGTTAAGGTAATCTGAATCTTGTGCTATCAGGTTCTTGATAAAAATTTTTGGTTTTATCAATTTTTTGATTCCTATAAGTGCTATACAATAGCATTTAAAAAAAAAATAGCACAAACCAAATCTCATATTGCATTCAGTCTACAAAATCTAAAATTAGTTCCATTTTCGCAAAATCAATAACAAAAAATAACAGCACAAACTTGGGTACTCCTCAGCGATCAACGAGAGAGGGAACCTATAAAAGTGAGAGAGGGAACCTATACAGGAGCTTTGTTGTTGCTGGGGTAGGAGAAGAGAGAGAGAGAGAGATAGGAGAGCCTGAGATGAAGCCGAAGGTAGGAGAAGGGTTTCAGATATGATTTTTAGCTAG